GCTGACGTACCATAGCCGACGGAGGGTTGACGTATTTCAGCACCGTCAGATCGTTCCTCCTGCGGATCTAAGTCTGTCAGCACCAGCGCTTCGAGCCGCGCCGAACGCAAAGTCGATGGAGCCGCTCGCTCACCTTCAGGGTGATGAACCAGTAGACGGCGAGAGCAATAAGCTGGCTCGCGACGTAGCCGATACGGAGGTAGGTGATGAACTCCGGGTCCTCGAGAGGCAACCGCCTGGCCACTGTGGTCGCGCGAGCATGAGCAGGAGACCACGTAGGAGCGGACGGGAAGGAGACCGAGTGGGATGGGGATAGACTCACCCTGCATGGCGCCGAGGGAGAGGACGAGGTTGGTGATGGCCGGGTTGTTCATTTTGCGGGTGGACTGGGACTGGGGTGGTGAAGAGGTAAGAAGCAGAGGAAAGTGGTTTATAGAAGAGTATGGAAGGAGGAGAAGGATGATATGGAACTCGCCTCGTCACCACACGACACCACCGACGACCGCTCATTTGCCGGTTGCGTGGCCGTGGCCGTGGCCAATGAGCAATAAGCTGGGCGCCCTGAGCCGATCAGTGGCGCCACAGCCAATGGGCCGTGTCATATCGCCGAAACGCCGGCGAGCCGTCCTGCTTTGGCTCGCCCGGACGGTTCCGGTCCAGCCCAGCCAGTCACTCGCTCAACCTCGACCTCCTCTTCTCATTCTCAGTCTTCCTCTCCCTCTCGCTCCGCTGTCCCCCTCCAATTCTCCGCCCAACACCGCACCATGCGTTCCGCCCTCCGCCCCACCCTCCGAGCGGCGCGTGCCGTCGCCCGACGAAACGCCTCGTCCCAGTCCTCGTCCCCGCTCGACAACCCCAACGTCCAGAAGGCGGTCGAGGGCGCACAGAAGGCGTACGAGCAGGGCGCGGCTACCGTCAGGAGAGTGGCGGGGCCGATCGGTGACAGAGTGGGGAGCGCTCTCGGATGTGAGTGATCCTCGAGCGGGTTGGCCGGGCTGCATTGGGAGATTGGAGATTAGCCAGGCCATACCTTTCTGGCGAGCCGCGAGCGGAAAGGAAGCTGGCGAGCTTCAGCCCCACAACCCTGACGCTCGCTGGCCTTGTCCGACTGCTCTTGACGATGCTTGTCTTCGTGCCCACGGCAACCATTCGTGCTGCCGCTGCGTTGTTTGTCTTGAATCCCCCGCAATCGACTTGCGCTTCCACTCAACTGAAACCGACCGTCTCGTTACGAACAATCACTAATTCTCCCCGCAGCGTACCGCGAGCCCATCGTCTACAACGCCAAAGTCGCCGCCTCGCTCGCCCGACAGGTGTACCAGGCCGAGCGACTCGCGCCTCCGACCAAGCTCCACGACTGGGCCACGGCGTACGCCCAGATCTGGTCCAGGGCGAGCAACATCAACTTCTGGAGGGATGTGTTGAAGACTGGAGCCTGGGCCGGTCTGGCGGTTGCGGTGGGTCCTATATGTGCTCGGATCGAGCCTTGTGCACAGCTGACGAGTGGCTACTCTCTACTTCCCCCTTCGACACCCATGACTCCATACTGCACCACTGCTGCGTCTCGCCTGGTTTATCCTATTCCTACTGTGCCTCTCGATTACAGGGCCTCGAGGCGTACGGTATCTTCAAGCTCGGGGAGATCATCGGCAGGCGTAACCTCGTCGGCTACAAGATCAGGGACTAGACGGAGCGGAGAATTGAGATGCGGACGTGTGCGTGAGGGCTGGATGGGGATGGTCCATTGGGCAGGAGGAAGGAGTCTACGCTACGGATAGATGAAGAGGGCAAAATGGGTTTTGCGACCCTCATTCTTCTGCATGAAAACGCATGATACCTACTCTCCGTTTGAATCTCGGGCTGTGTCCCGGGTCCTAGCGAACGCTGAACACACGACCGCTTGTCCATGATGCTGTCTCTATCCTGCCATGAAAGCGTGCAGCCTGCCTGGCGCCACAGCACTTTTTGATCCCGGGAAAATCCCGAACCGCTAAAACGTACCTACACGCGGTCGTTGAATTCGATTCAAGTATTCGGACTTTCTTGAATCCCAACAGGTCGACTCAAAAGATCCACTCGTCATTTCCTGTACTTCGTTCATTCCCTCTGACGGCTTCGCTCTACACCCGAAGAGGCTCTGAGAAATATGGTGCGCCAATCTCCATGTCATTCTCATGCAGCGCTCATAGCCCCGTAGCCGACCATCACCGTTGACAAGGCCGAGCTCTACCGGCGACTCGAGCGAGAGTACAGTGAGTCTGTTGCCATAAGCACCCCTTCGACATGGACAAAGAGGCACCTTTCCGCAATCTCGCTGACCTCGTGGCGTAGCGACCGAACAGTTTGACGAACTCTGCTTTGACTTTGGTATCGAGCTCGATGAGGACGTGGGTGCCGTGCTCCTTTGACTGCCCCATCAAGTGCTGGCGCCGAGCTGAGCATCCCAGACCACCGAAGACGTCCTCGCCGCCCAGGCGGAAGGTCTCCCCACACCGCCCCCTCAGCTGAAGATCGAGATCCCCGCGAACCGATACGACATCCTCTGTCTGGAGGGTCTCGCTCGAGCATTGCGTGTGTTCCTCCAGAAAGACAAGCCCCCGCATTACACCCTGTCCGTTCCATCCCGTATCCAGGAAGTCTACGTTGAGCCATCGGTACGTGCTTCTCTTCGAATGACTCACTGGTTATGCCGTTATTGTGAGCTTACCTGACGCCCCGTAGACGTCCCCGCTCCGACCGTACTTCGCCTCGGCCGTTTTGAGACTTGCGAGACCGCTCAACCAGATGGAATACGAGTCGTTCATCGACCTCCAGGACAAGCTGCACCACAACCTGTGCAGACAACGAAGACTCGTCGCCATCGGTACGCACGATTTGGATACTATCGAGGGCCCGTTCCGGTGAGCACGAATCCGGCTTCAGGTTTCGGGGCTTGGTTAGCGTACTGGGAGGATCGAGGGGCTCACTCGTTGGCAGATACATGTGCCGGGATCCGAAGGAGATCAAGTTTGCGCCGCTCAACAGGGATACGGAGAACACTGCCGAGGAGCTGATGGGGATCTACGAAGTGGGTCGTCTTTATTCTTCATGATTAACTTGGCGGGGGTGAATGGGGCCGCGACTGATGCAGTGCAGAACGACAGGCATCTGGGACGGTACCTGCACATCATCCGGGACGCCCCTGCGTACCCCATCATCTACGACAAGCACGACCGCGTGCTCTCGATGCCGCCAATCATCAACTCTCAGCGTGAGTCATTGCAGTCAGTGCACGACTACCAAAGCGGGACTTCGCTGATGACTCATGCCTCGGCAGACTCCAAGATCGTTGCCGGGAAGACCAAGAACATCTTCATCGACACGACCGCTACGGACAAGACCAAGCTGGACATTGTCATCAACATGGTCGCTACCATGTTCTCGGAATACTGCGCCGTTCCCTTCTCCATTGAGCCGGTCAAGATCCACATGCCCGACGGCACCTCGCACCTCTCTCCTCCCATCGCTCCTCGTATCACCACCGCGTCGTCCTCGTACATCAACGCCGCATGTGGCCTCACACTTCCGCGACAAGAGATCTCCACCCTTCTCACCCGCATGTCTCTCTCTGCGCAACCCTCCTCGACCGACCAGGACCTAATCGAGGTTGAGGTCCCCTGCACGAGACCGGATATCCTGCACGAATGCGACATCATGGAGGACGCGGCGATCGCTTATGGGTTCAACGAGCTTCCGAGGCATATGCCAACGACCAATACGGTCGCCAAGGCTTTCCCTGTGAACAAGTTGGCGGACATCCTGCGGAAGGAGTGTGCCATGGCCGGTTGGATCGAGGCTCTGCCTCTGATTCTGGTGAGCCGCTAACCGACTCTACAACTCCCAATTATGATGTGTCGAGCTGATTCCATTCAAGTGCTCGCACGACGAGAACTTTGCATGGCTGAACCGCCCCGATCCGGGCAAGTACGCCATCGCCCTCGCCAACCCTGCCACGCAGGAGTATCAGGTCGTCCGCACCTCTCTTCTCCCCGGCATGCTCAAGACTGCGCGTGAGAACCGCGCGCTCCCTCTCCCGATGAAGATCTTCGAGGTTTCGGACGTTGCGATCCAGGACCCGACTGCGGAGCGCAAGGCGCGCAACTACAGGCGTCTTTGCGCGGTGTACATGGACAAGAAGGCTGGGTTCGAGGTCGCGCATGGTCTGCTGGACAGGATCATGCAGATCCTCGGGGTGCCGTTCTTGCAGACCAAAGAGGCCGAGGCGAGCTACGGGTACTACATCACCTCTGCGGACGGTGAGTCGTCGCTCCAACGCTCCAACTTTTGCGAGAGATGCTACCGCAAGCCTGGTAGCCGGTGCTGATTCTCGGACTAGACCCGACCTACCTCCCCGGACGAGGTGCTACGGTGTACTACCGCCCCAAGCCATCTATCGCCGCTAACGACCTCGCCGACCCCACCCCTTCGACAGCCCCGTCCGCCACTGGTCCTCTCCACACCCTCGCTGAGAACCTCAAGGCCGCGCTCCCCAACTCGGTCAAGTACGCGGAGAGGGACATGGTCATCGGCTCTCTGGGCATCCTGCACCCATCCGTCCTGGACAAGTTCGAGCTGGGCAGGCCGTGCTCGAGCCTGGAGATTGACGTAGAGGTTCTTCTGTAGATACGAGATGTGAGATGGGACATCGTGGAATAAGACGGTGTCCCGGTTTGTCCCAAAAGCAAGAAGAGGAGCCAGCTGGATCCCACTCGCCCCAGTCGTGGCGGTTAAGACGAACTCCAGTGGTGGCGCAGATAGGTCTGCCACATCGTCAATTCTTTTCATCTGAACGTAGGGGAGAGGGGTTTGAGCGCAGCAACCCAGTCAGACTCACTTCACCTCCATCGCTCCGTGGTGCCGTGGAGTCCACACTGTTCAGTGTCGTCGGTCCTCTGTGTTTGTTGAACACAAAAAAGCGCAAAAAGATTGCAGAATTGCAGGACAGCGGGGGCGAAAAAGGAGGGCCCAACCCGGACTCGAACCGGGGTCGGTCACATTATGAGAAAACCTCACGGGATCAAATTCCCGAAGCGACAATCGTACCTCTGGACCATTGGGCCTACATATTACGTGATACACACGCCCACTCCGATCAATAATACCTGGCTCATCAGCCGGACTCGTGTGGTGTTGGGTCAACTGAAAACTCTATCAACCTGCGCCATCGCCTTCCATAAGACTCCTTCCGTCCTGTTGTCCCTGGCTCTCTGCGTCTCATCGATCTGGTCCGACGCTGCAAGCGTGTTGTTGATTTTTTCGGCATTGCAACATTTATATATACAGCTTGAGATCTTCACAGCCCATTAGGCCTGGAATTCATCCTCGTTTGGACGCGTATGACGGCCTCTCGGTGGTCCGTTAAGACTATACGTTCACGGGCTCGTGGTGATGTCCCTACATTCAAATGAGGTTGATCACCAGACTCTGTGACCGTGGTTTCCGTCCGATGATGTTCTGGTCTACAGTAGGTCGGCAGGCGAGGCGCGCGAGTCAAGTGTCTGCGCCATGAGGCGGACCCGTCGTCCTCGTTATTTGGTGAACGACGGTTCAGAGACGTTGCTTGGCACGGGAGTCAGACTACCTACGCCTCCGTCAGGGGAAGGGACCATGTACGACACCACACAAGGAGACGCCGGTCATCGCGAAGCGTTGAAGAAGTTTTCCAGATGAAACGCAACGCGGGTTGTCGGCCTTGTCCGTTGCGCTGACGGTAGTGCGGTCATCGGCCACACCTCGGTGGATTAGGATTAGGGAAATGGAATTGGATTGGGATCTGGTGGATTTCCCTGTTCCCTCCACCTGTCCTCCACTCTCGCCGCCCTTTTCCTTCTCGTCTCGTCATTCTCTCGTCTTCGCTTCTTCCCTGTTGTCGCCTCCTGACTCGTTCGACGTCCTTCCCCACGTCCATCGTAGCGGACATCGTTGCAGGCCGTTCAGAGCCGATTACACCGCATCGACAAAGTCACTCTATCGCTGCGAAACCGGACGGCCTCGCCGACGATGCTCGACCAGGCCTCGTTCAGCGCGATGGCCACCAAGCCTCTCCCCGGAGAGACCCACTGCACCTGGCCCATCCCGGTGATCGCTCACTCGCGAGATCTCGACTTCACGCAGTGCTTCGAGCATGCTGTTCTTCTCCCCGTCCCTCTCGTCGTCTCCATACTCCTTGGGACGGCGCAGATCTTCAGCGTCGCTCGGAGACTCAAGCTCGGTCCATCCAAAGGCGGGATCGCGTGGATCACTCGGAATACAGCAGGGGAGAGAGTTGGTAGGATCAAAGTCGTGAGTGTCCCTTCCATCGCCGATATCCCGCGAATATCAATCTGATTCGTATGGCAGGCTTTGTCAGCGTTCGCCGCCATCCTTGGGCTCGCCTCACTCTGCCTCTCTTTCACGACCGCCCGCGACTCGCCTCTCTCTACGGTGCACTATGCTCTCTATTTCGCAGTCCAGCTCATTTTCGTCCACCTCACATACCTGAACCACCACACATCCCGGACGTCTGCGAACCTCATCCTCGTTTTCTGGCCGGCGTACGTGCTCGCCTCGGCGGTCCGCATTCGCACCATGATCCTCACCGGCGCGCTCTCCCTCGATCTGTCTCACTCCCTCCCCGGCCGACTTCTCCTGGCGCGCGAAGCTCTGTGGCTCGCGAGCGCGGGCTTCGGGATGATTGAATTCGTGCTCGAGCTGTACTCGCCCGAGAAGCGATGGAAGCGGATCAGGTGGAGGGCCCCGTGGAGCAGCGAGGGCAAGATCGCACTCGAGCAGGATGAAGAGGAAGAGGCTCTGGATGGAGTCGAGGATCTCAATGGCGGTGGAGGCGTCTCTGGCAAGAACGAGTATGGCGAAGTGGAGAGTCCCGTCTCGACCGCCAACATATTCGAGCGATTGACATTCTCTTGGCTCACTCCGCTCCTCTCCCTCGGCACGCGAAAGTTCCTGGGCGAGGAGGACATGTGGTCTCTCCCACCCAACGACTCGGCCGAGGCTCTTTCGAACCGCCTCCAGGTCGCGTGGGACCGTCAGATCGACGCCGTCAAGCGCCAGAAGAAATCTGAGCCTTCGCTCAAAATCGCCATCGCCCAGGCGTACGGTTTCCCGTACCTCATCGCAGGCTTGTTGAAGGCTCTGTACGACTCGCTCAGCTTCCTCCAGCCTCAGTTGCTCCGCTTGCTGCTGAGCTATGTCTCGAGCTATGGGACGGATAGCCCCCTCCCGCCCGTCGCTGGATACGCCATCAGCATCGCCATGTTCGTCAGCGCGAACGTGGCGACGGCGGTTCTGCACCAGTACTTTGACCGCTGCTTCTCGACCAGTAAGTCCTGTATCTCCCTTGGTCATGCGAAATGGTTTGATTGATGTGTGTAGCGATGCGCGTCAAGGGCGGTCTCGTCACCCTCATCTACCGGAAGTCGCTCCGTATGAGCAACGGCGAGAAGGCCGGCCGCACTACCGGCGACATCGTCAACCTGCAGAGTGTCGACGCAGTTCGTATCGCCGATCTGGCTCAGTACGGCCATATCGCCTGGTCTGGCCCCTTCCAGATCATCCTGGCCTTCGTCTCGCTCTACAACCTGGTCGGCTGGCAGGCGTTCACGGGCGTGGGCGTCATGTTGATCAGTGTGAGTGTCCTTCTGCCGGCAAAACGCTGCCATCCCCTGACACGATGTAGCTTCCCATCAACACCATGATCTCGAAGTATCAGAAGACACTCCAGCGCCGCCTGATGAAGACCAAGGACGTCCGTACTCGGGCGATGAACGAGATCTTGAACAACATCAAGTCGATCAAGCTGTACGGATGGGAGAAGGCCTTTGCCGCTCGAGTCTTTGCCGCCCGAAACGACCAGGAGCTCAAGGTCCTCCGCCGTATTGGCATTGTCCAGTCTGCCAGCAACTTCTTCTGGACCTCGACTCCGTTCTTCGTCGCCTTTGCCACCTTTGCCACCTTCGTCATGACGAGCAAAACACCGTTGACCAGTCAAATCATCTTCCCCGCCATCTCGCTGTTCCAGCTACTCAGCTTCCCCATGGCCGTGTTTTCCAACATCATCAACAGCATCATCGAGGCGATCGTCTCGGTCGGACGACTAGAGAGCTTCCTTGCTGGCGATGAGCTGGACCCTGACGCCCGAAAGGTTATTCTCCCCAAGGATGATCCCCAAGGTGAAGCTCGTCACGGAGACACAGTCGTGTCAATCAAGAATGGCGAGTTCAGGTGGCTCCCAACCTCCACTGAGCCAATCCTTCAAGACATCGATCTGGAGGTGACCAAGGGGGAACTCTTGGCGGTCATCGGACGCGTCGGGGACGGCAAGTCGTCGTTGCTGGGAGCGATGTTGGGCGAAATGACCCGGTCGGACGGCTCGGTCACCATTCGTGGTGACATCGCCTACTTCAGCCAAACATCGTGGATCCTCTCCGCGACGGTGAAGGATAACATCGTCTTTGGTCACCGTTTCGATCCCGTTTTCTACGACAAGGTACTGGACGCCTGTGCGCTGCGTGCCGATCTCGCCGTGCTACCCCAGGGCCACATGACCGAGGTCGGAGAGAAGGGCGTGTCTCTGTCGGGTGGTCAGAAGGCTCGTATTTGCCTGGCCCGAGCTTGCTATGCTCGTGCCGATATCTACCTCCTCGACGACCCCCTCAGCGCTGTCGACGCCCATGTCGGACGCCACATCTTTGACCACGTCATTGGACCCAACGGTCTTCTCAAGAACAAGGCGCGTATTCTCTGCACCAATGCGGTGAACTTCCTGCCGCACACCGACCAGATCATCATGCTCCGTCGCGGCATCATCCTCGAGCGAGGGACCTACGCCGACGCCATGTCCAACTCGTCGTCCGAGCTGTACAAACTTATCACTGGTCTCGGCAAGCAAACCACCAAGGAAAACGGAAGCGGATCTGCAACGCCCACGATTGCCGAGACGGAGACGGACGATGAGGTCGAGGACGAGAGCGAAAGTGTTGACGACTCGGAGTCGCTCAAGAAACGCAAGGCGATCCGAAGGTTGAGCACGGCGACGATGCGTCGTGCCTCGTCGGTGTCCATTCGCCAGGCCAAGCGGGAGGCTCTGCGTGATCTCCGCGAGAGCGCCAAGCCAAAGGAACACTCCGAGAAGGGTTCGGTCAAGCGCGACGTCTACAAGCGATACATCGCCGCCGCGTCCAAAGCCGGCGTCTTCCTCTTCTTGCTATTCATGTCGCTCGGCCAAGCCTCGTCCATCTTGTCCAACTATGTCCTCCGATTCTGGGCACGCAAGAACGGCGAGGAGGGCGAGACCTCCCAGATCAGCACGTACCTCCTCGCATACGGTGTCATCGGTGTTTCGTCCTCGTTCTTCAGCGTGGGAAGCCAGATGATCCTCAAGCTCTACTGCGGTCTTCGCTCAAGTCGAAAACTCCACGACGACTCGTTTTCGGCGCTCATGAGGAGTCCGCTCAGCTTCTTTGAGCTCACTCCGACGGGTCGTATCCTCAACTTGTTCTCGAGGGACATCTTTGTCATCGACGAGGTCCTTATCGTCGCGCTCTCTGCCTTCGTCAGGACAGTGAGTATGGGCTCACGATTCTTGTATCGTGGCTGACGCCTTGTGCAGCTTATTCAAGTCGTCGGTGTCGCCGTGGTCATTGCCCTAGGCGCACCATTGGTTCTGATCGTCTTCATTCCGCTGGGTTTCATCTACCGGATGGTCATGAGGTACGCTCGACCCGGGTCGACTCGTTGATCCCATGCTGATCTGCAGGTACTACCTGTCCACGTCTCGAGAGCTCAAGCGGCTTGATGCCATCTCGCGATCGCCAATCTTCTCCTTCTTTGGCGAGACCCTTGCCGGTTTGCCAGTGATTCGGGTACGTCACATATATCCACGTCCGGTGCGGCCGCTCATCTGCGCAGGGATTCAACCAGACCCAACGTTTCATCGCGAACAACGAAGCCCGGATCGATCGGAACCAAGCTTGCTACATGCCTGCCATGACCATCAACCGCTGGTTGGCTGTCCGCCTCGAATTCCTGGGCAGCTGCCTCATGTTCTCCACGGCGTTGGTCT